AAAGTTAACTCTTACGCTTGCATCATCAGTTGTTTCTTTTAACTACTTGTAATCAGTTGCTTGATCCACAGTATCATGTTTGGATTTTTTAAGCTCCTTCAAGATAATATAAGAAAACCTTGCTCTGTTTTAAAAAATAACAAGGAATGTTTGCAGTGTTTTCATTCCTTGGAGACACTCTTATCAGAGCAGCTTCAAAGAGTCAAGTAAAGATTAATGTAAACACATACTAGAAACTTAATAAATTCCTATAAGAACAGACAATTCAAGAAAGCTTGTGAATATAATTGAAACTGGTAATGGAAACAAGGCTGTAGATGACCATTGCATTAGATGGCAGTTCCTTGATGATCTAACAAAATGTTGCAGCAAGGTCTCTATTTGTTTTTTTACATCTTTATGTGCTACTAAACTGTATCTCTCAAATGGACAAAAACATCTGATGAGTGTTCTGTTAAATAATTCAACTAAACTAGGTTGCTCAGACACTGGTACTGAACTTGAATAATTTCAGATACTTAAAAATAATAAAATATTGCCTGGTAAGAGGTTAGTATAAAGATAATTTAAGAAGTATGTCAGAAGGATAATTCAGCTGTACTCTGATTTTCTGCAGGCCATCTACTATGTTCCTGGAAGCTAACATGGTTACTTGTATATGAGATACCTTTTAGTCATTTCATAGCTTTTACCTACCCAGATCAGTTCTCTTCATAAGGATAGTTAGATGTCAGCTGAGGTAAGACACTTTTCACTCTGCAGCTCTCCTGCTAAGGAAAACATCAGCAGTAAACTATGTGCCGGGGGAGTGGATGTGAGTTCTTCAGAAAGCATCTGCTGCTGGCTTTAACAGCTGGCCTGTGTCTTCAAAAGCAGCAACTACTGGGAATAGCATGTCCCTTTGCTGCTTATTTTGCATTTCTCAGTGTAACTCAGAAGAGCTGGGGGTGCAGGACAGCTTAGTAAGTACAATTATCTAAGACAAACAAGGCAGAGAAAAAGGACATGGCAGACCAATTATTTTGTCGCGAGTTATTCAACATGTTGCAATTTCATGTGTTCATTGTAAAGGATTGTACTAATGTGTCACTACATAAATATACTTTTGTCTGACATGGTCATGACTGATGATTGTTTTAGTTAAATCCTGCACTGTTTCTGGCGCTTATAATATTGAAAAACAAATTTGCTGTACTGGATACAATTCTGCTCTAATCAAAATGTAAGTGGCTCAAAATGGATCAAAGGTGGCAGAACAGTCCAGAGTAGGTGAGGTGTAAAATTTGTTTTGTAAAACTCAGGTCTGCCTTTCAGAGGTTAATTTATCCACTCTGTAAATGATAACAAAGAAAGAAAAGTTATTTTGTGATGTGGAGACCCCTACTTTATGCATGAGTTCTGTGCCTCATTCCTCAGGAAATTGTACTTCTACATGAGCTCTTAATCAGTGTGTTCTAGGCCTTTCTTTTTGATGCTGATTTCATGAAGAATTCCATCACACCTCCTGGTGAAATTACAATGCTCTTCTGTGTATATCTTTTGAGTAGGAAAAAATGTTTGAAAGTTATTTTGGTTAAGTACTAATTTTTTTTCTTTTCCTTAAATAATTTCTCATGTCTTTTGTCATATTTGTCAGTGTTAATAACAGGTAAAAGCTTTGGTAGGGAAAATTTACAGTAACAGTTTTATATGTATTTTTACAGCTGTTGTTATTCTTGGAGCTTTAGCAAAATGTAGAACAAACTTCCTTACCCAAATTCTGCCATTTTTCTTTGCAGTAGTAGTGGAACATTTTTGCTGAATTTTTTGGTCCTAGGCTGCTCTCTGCAATATCACATTTCAATAGTAACCATTTATAAGCACAGTTATAGCTGTGTTTGTACTGATTTTGGTATGAATATAGAGAACAGGACTCAGATTAGCTTTATGGCTGTGTATACTAGCAAAGCTGTATTAGAAAAAGCCTGCAAAAATACTGTTCTGCTCCCATTCTCCCCCTCTTTCCCTGAATAAGATCAATGTTCTCTCAGATTAGCAGTATACCTTGAGGGATTTCTGAGTGATTACAAGTAAGGTGTTCTTTAGGATGTTTGCTAGTGTAGGCAGATACTTGAAAAAAGAATAGGTACCTGATTTTTGTCATAACCATACCAAGGTAATGGCATACAGTTTAAGGAGCAGCTGACAGATTTTTTTTTTCCATGGAATGTTCAAAATTCTTGCTGTCCTGAGGGAAATGTTAAGAGAACCATGCCCTTGAGTAACCTTGGTGGTTATGTGTGGCAAGCTTAAAAACACAGTAATGATCAGAAACTAGTGATCTAGTTCCAACTGTTCCAACATAGCATGAGGAACAGGTTTGTGAAAGGCAAGTCTTACAGAAGATTTTCTACTCCAACTTCTAGGTGGTGGACACTATGTTACATTTGGCAAAAGCGTGCTTCAGAAATTAAAGGTGCATTTTTCTTACAGCATGGGAAATATATCATGAACAGCAGGCCTTAACTAATTTTCATTGCAAGGAATTTGTTTGGTATGGAGAATTTCATGTGCCTTGTATCCAGTAGATCCCAAAGGTCCATCTTGGAGCCAGCTGGCACTGCTCTGTTGGACATAGGGGAAACTTCTAGCAGCTTCTCAGAGAAGCCACTCCTATAGCTCCACTCCCAAAACCTGGCCATGAAAACCCAATACATATTGGAAAGTCAATGATGAGAGTGTCTACTGGAAACTTGCTGTCTGCTGCCTCCTTGCTTTGTATTTGTGATATATATATATAGGAGTTTTTCATCATAAGCATGCCATGTTAGGTATCCTATCATGTGGGACACTTTATTTGGACACTACCTGAATCAGGAATTCCTTTGCAGTGGAAGTAATGATAAGCTAAAGAATGGAAAAGGTTGGCAGATGAGGCAACTAACTATGTTACAACAGAAGCTCAACCAAGGTCCAAGAAAGAGTACTAAACTCTGGAAAGATTCTTCAAAGGGTGGACTAAAGAAATTTTGAGCTGCTCTTGTGTCACATGAAATGGGATAAATCTGAGACAAATGCTGTAATTAGACTACAGTTGTGAGTCAGTACACAGAGTGTGGAATCACCTACCGCAAGTCTTGTGAGATGCAAAAAGCACAGAAAGCAGTTCTGAGATCAGTCGTGCAAGGTTACTAGAAGAGGGGGAAAAAAGAGGGTGTGAAGGTGTGATTTGATTTGGAAACAGGTAGATAAATGCTGATCCTGGAATTGGTTTGAGGAAACCAAATAGTCTCAGTGAATTTAAGCAGAAGTGTCTAAAAATCTGAACCTGGTCAAGGCTGTATGAAGTTGAGCGTAGTTCCTGTGTTTAACAATCCTCAGTGATTTTTTTTTAAATACTTATATCCTAATCAGAGTTTTCCATTTTCTTACTTGTGTCCGTTTTCTGCAGCCTTGTCTCTACCATCCCATCAAGTACAGAGAACAGCAGTCCTTACGCTTGATAACAAGTATAACAAATGCAAAGAATAAAATTACATTATCAACACTTTAAAGTTTGCATTGTATATGTAAGCCTTTTTAGAAGCCTCAAATCTGGCCATGCTGAAGAAATGACTGTTTGCATTGTAGTGAAGTGCTTACGCTATTTATACAGCATTTGTATTTTCTGCAGAGTGTTTTTAACTTACTCTGATGCAAATAGAGAAAGTTAAAATGATTTTATGCAAGTGAATTTATTTTTAAATCTGTGCTTTAAAAATATATCTATTAAATACTGCCTTCAAAGTGATGTTTAACACAAATTATGAGACTTCAATAATTATTCAGGGCTATTAGCATGGGTTTTGCAGGCACAGAGTGCCCATAGTGTGGTCTCTCAATTCCACAAAAAAGGACTTTTAAGAGAACCACTGGTAACTGACTTCTGCAGGATGCTCTCTGAGTGTAGTGCCTGATAAATGTGGCATGAAGAATTGATTTTATGAGCCATGAGTCCCAGAGTTAGCATGTTATCAGGACTGCTAATAGCCTAATCTGAGTTTGAGATACCCATTATCATAAGTTGCTGTTAGTCCTGAATTCCCATCAGAGCTATCTTGTCAGACCAGACTTCCATAATGATGTCTTTTATTTGTAGCAACGATATTTTTGTTTTGATATATGTACCACTATCAGACTCTTTAATGATTTTTTTTTTTTAAATTGAAAGGGTTCATCAGAGACTTCAACAATGCTAAGAATTCTGGGTTGCATTAAGTAAAATGCTTATCTTGCATATTTGGTGGGGCCACTTAACATGTTTAACTGCTTTGCTCTCCCTGAGCACTGTGCTGCAGCCTTGGTTATAAAGGGGTGGGATGTGAATGGGACATTGAGATTATTGCAGGATAGGTACAGGCTAGCTTAGTTAAAAAAATCTTAGTTGAAAAAAAAAGAAGAAGAAGAAATCTGAACTGTAAATTACACAGTCTGGGAAATTTTTATGCTTCAGAAATTTGTCTTGCCAGAGTTAGGAAAGAATAAGAGTGAGAAAGATATCTGAAAATAAAATGTGAAAATGCAAAAAGGGGTATTATGGAGGGTGTTTTATGTTGTGCTTTGTTTTGGCCTTTTTTAAGGAACATTACTGCTTTGGGAAAAAAATTGAGTATTTGCAGTTGTGAAAGTGAGTATACAGTTTTTTCTTCAGAACAGCCTTACATATACTCTGACTTTTTGATAAAATGTAAAATTTATTTGAAAACGGTAATAAACTAAACATATGTTTTGTAAGTTACTGTCAGCAAAAAAGTTCTAAAGCCATGGGATTTTTTTTTCATATTTAAAAGGCTGATAATCTAATTGTAAAGCTAAAATACAGGGGATTAGATTGCAGAATAAAATTCCCCCTTCTGTAGCACACTCTGACTTCCAGTGCACTGTCAAACCGTTTACTGGACACAAACTGCTACTAAACTACCCGTAGTAGTAGAAAGAGCATTCAGATTTTTCTCATTTTGATTTTTTCCTTCCTTTGACAGTGACTTGTTATCTTCCAATTATGTGGAGATTCACTATGAAGATGGAAAACCAAAGTTTTCTAAGGTATTGTGTTCTTAAATTGTATCATAATGATGTTTTTGAGAGAACTGTGCCAATAAAATGTTTTAAAAAAAAGTTTTGCAGAACTTAAATCCACCAAAATTCTTTTTCCACATGTACAAGGTAACTGTGATCTCATTTTGTAAGGATATCTCAGTAATACAAGGGGAATTGTACAAAGAAGAAAAGCTGTGTTTTGGGCTGAGGGGTAGGCATTCGTAGGTGGTAGTAGTGAAGATGATCCAGTTACTGCCAGAACAATTACATCTTGTAAAATGTAGGAGGTGGAGCATTTGAAACCACCATCAGATTAATCTTCATTAATTATTCACATGTCCTTAGCACAAAGTGCAAGGAGAAGGGATAATGGTAATGTAAGACATTCAAACAAACAAAAAAACTGACAGTGACTTTTCTTTGCAAGAATTATACAGTTGTGAAACAGAAAATGAAAGACTTAACTGAAACCTTAACCTCTGGAGTTATTACAAAATCAGCATATTGCTTGATATCCAATTAATTAAGTTTGTCAAACAAGCTACCAAATTGAATTCAGTGCCACAGGCTATTAATCCAAGGGCAGATTAAAGTTATGCAAGATAGTTCAGCCCTAAGGGAACCACATCAGTCTTTTTGTTTGTTTTAGTAACAAAATGAGGGCTGGTACGATCCTAGGAAGGTTAAAAACTACATGTTCCGGGAATTACTTTTTTCATATTTGGTATGAATGTTGTGAACTTATTATGTGTGAAATATATCTCTATTTAGAGTGGAGGCAAGCAAACATTCCAGTTGCATTTATGCATTCATGCATTCAGAAAGTCAGGACTGTTGTTTGTCCAAGTATTAGATATCTAGTTTATTATTTTGCCCTTGTTATGGAGAATCTCAAATAAAATAATACATTACAGATAAGGGCAGAATTAAACAATTATATTGCAATGTAATTATTGAAATTGTTTTCTTCCACTGTAGAGGAAAAATAATTTCATGTAACATACAAAGGAAGTTGTTTCATTAAGACTCAGTACTCTGCAGAATAGGCAAAAATGCTAAATGATGCAAGAAAACAATTCCCACTGGCACTTAGACAAGCTCATGCAATTGTCAGCTGCAGCACTAGTATTGAGCACTGCGGTTGCTGAATCATGAATCTGACTGGAAAATTATATTAGAACTTCAGACTCAGCAAATGGGCTACCTTTGCATGCTGCAGTAACTTGATCCAAACTTCCTAAGGGATGTTTTCTGAATTGTGTTATTTAGAAGCAGTAATAGAGCTCCTGAGATCACATTATTAATCTATAAAAGGCTTCATTATAGGTTCAAAAAATATACACACAATTTGTGTAGGAGGTCAAATAAGGACTGTATCCTGGTCTTTTGCAGTATCTTATAATACTTTTTAGGCCTAAGTAGGTAAAAGATTGGTTTTTTTCCCAATGTGGATTTAAAGAACTGAGATCTTCATGAAAAGTGCTGTATTTTATAGAAAGGGGTAGTTTATTACAAGAATGACTGAAGAACAGACAACAATTTCTTTACTCAGATGATCATCTTGAAAAAAAAAATCTTGTGTGAGAGAGATGATCACATTTTAGCTGTTAAAAACCATGGTTTATGCATTCTCACTATGGAAAGGTAAGCACATAGTGATTACTTTCTATATAGTACTTTGATTTAGTTATACACACTAGCCAGTTAGGAATTTTATTCAGAATCTGAATAACTGATTAAATAAGATGCAAAGTGGAAGTAATGCTGTACATAGATAGACAAACAGCATTTATATTTTTGGTACCTTCTTGAGTTATAATAATTGCATAAGGAATGGGTTCAGTATGCTTGTTGGAGTTCAGATGACATGACACCAGAATTAAGAACATTTTTATGATGAATGGTAGGTTTTTCTAACAATGTGTGAAAGAACCACACTTAAGGGTTTTAAAAAAAGTTTTTGAGAATACTTTTTATCTTTAGTTTAGCTGGGTTTATTGTGATAGACAGTAAAGATATTACTTAAATCAGCTAAACTGGTATTGTTAGTGTTAGATCTTTTTTTGCCTTGGTTTTAAGTAACAGGCATTAAATCAGGGTAATTTTTTGTGTGTGACTGTTTGTTTTTAAACATTATTAGGGGGGAGAGCATTGTTACTACCATGGAAATATCAGAGGTATCAAGGATTCCAAAGTTGCTCTTTCGACTTGTAATGGACTTCAGTAAGTGCATGTTCTCATTTTTTAAACAAGGCTATAACTACTTATGACTCTTGAATATCATCACTTAATATGTGAGGGACTGAAACTCTACAGGCCCAAAAATTTTGATGTTTTGGAATGCCAGTACCAGCTAGGCCAAACTGCTAGCATTTTTTTTCTAATATCATTGGAGTTAGCATTTTGATGCTGTCTCATAAAACCTTTGAATATGGTAAGTGCAAATAAATATTTCCCCAGATAACTTATTATGGTGAAGGATGAACGAGAATTGTACTTTAGAAGTTTGCATGGTCAGTATTCATGTATGATGCTGTCGGCCAGTAGAAAAATTGATCTTTTTGTTAGATTATACAAAGAAAAAATATAAGAAATTAGTCCTTACTAGAACTAGTTACTGTTAAGTGCAACTCAGCTGTTGATTATATTCTGCATGGTAATGTGTATCTTAGTACTTCCTCTTTCCAAGGTCAAATCTTTACTCTTTTTGGTAATTTATCATTCCATTGCCATTACATTTAGTGTTGTTTCATTAAAACGTGCCTCATATTTTAAAAAAAATATATTCTTAGCTTTAACTACATGTGGTGATAATGAACATATATGGAATTTATTTTAATATTGGTCAGTTTTTCAGCCCTAAGTTTACTTTTGTCTCATCAAAATTCAAATCCTGGAGTCAAACTAATTGCCATGTAATCCTAAATATCACTTCTTTTTCTCCATGTTCTAGTGGCATGTTTGAAGATAGTACTTATTTGTACTTGATAGAACCGATGGAACTGACCCACAGTGCAGTAAGTTTATTTTTATCTAATTTGTTTGGTTTAGGAGAGTGCTCAAGGAATAGCAAATGAAAGTATTAGAACAAATCAATAAATGTCTCATGCGTTCATATGAAAACCAAAAGTATTTTAAAACACTTGATTGGAATTTATTTAAGGCAGGAAATTTGTAAGTATGATTTACCTATGATTTTTCTCTTCTTTAATTTTTTGTTTCTTACTTATTGTTGATTATTTAGATGCTGGGAATAGACTAATAAGACTGTTTCTGTAGCACATGGTTATGGACTGTCTAAAAGTGTTTATCAATTTGCTCTAGTACTTGACCTAAAGTATTTATAAGTTTGTAGAAGGGATCTCTGGAACTCATTTATATGTTCCTCTCTAGATAGTTGCATCAGATTGCTCTTGACCTACCATGTTTCCACAAGGAGCTTAATTAAGTAGATAATTCTATCTGGGTATCTTACACTTTGTATGTGTTATCTCAGTGGTCACTGTATAGCTTAAATGATTCTGATATAGCATATTCAAATACATGACTATGCTGGATCAGCGTATAGGACTGCATTTATGCAAATATCTTGCTATTATTATTTTTGTATTTCATATTACATATTAAAATACAGCTGTTCTTAAAAATTTAGCTGTTAATAGAGCTGACGCAGTTTCATAGACAGTAGTAAAACTAGGTGGATTTCTACCTCTTGAATGATTCAAATATTTGAGTTATTTTCAGTGAAATGATTCTGCAACATTGAGACAGAGAATTCTTAAGGTTTGTATCCCCCTTGGTCTGTAGGATGTATTCCAGATGCTGTAGCACAGCTCTTAAGCTTGTCTCGCTCTATTACATACCAGTATATGACAAATAATTAACTCTACAGAACCAGCTTTAGTGCTTGTAATGCTGAACTTACAGTCCAAATAAAGATCTGCAAAAATCATTGGCTGATACTGTCAAATAAACTGGACCAACATTCGGAGGAATCAGTATCAATTGGATGTTCAATTATTGGACTATAAATGAAACTTTAGAGACACGGGAAAATATTACATCCTAAAAAACTTCTCTGTCTCCCTAGGAGCAACATTACATTCCATGTGTCTATGTTTGGTGTAGCACATGTTCATAAAGATTGTAAGTCTGAAAACTGACAACACAGACACAGTAAATTCATGGAGATTATATTTATACAGCGGTATCCATATAGTAGGAAGAAGAGAATTCGACTAAATTGTTTTCTTGCTTGGGTGAACAAATGAAACCAGGATCTTTCTTTCAGTGTGGTATTTCAGTAAAACTTTTTAAGTGTAGGAGAAGTTCTGGTTATGAAAGTGAGATACCATTTCCCAACTCTGTCGAGGATTCATGTTGAATTCTAGATGATAAGAAGACAGATGAGATGCGTATTTTTCTCAAAACTACTGAAAAATAAAATAATACAGCTACAGAGAACTTTCAGAGGCTCATTTTTTGATTGCACTATGCAAGATATATATCTTGGACACAGCCTTCAGTGTGTAGTTTGTTCAGCTTGATTAATCTTAACTATAGCAGATACTATATAAAACTCCCTCCCTTCCCCCCAAAATTCAGCAAAAATATGCAGTATTGTCCTTCAGTGAGTTATGTATTTCTTATGAAAGTTACAGAACAGTTGCATCCTGCCCTTTGAAAAGAATTGCTTGTTTTGGCAGGCTCTTGTTTTGGCAAAGGAGGTGTTATGGAAGAAAAGAGTTGTTTTCTAGAGTAGATACTCAAATGTGATAATTTGGGGTATGTCAGACTTCTAAAGAAAATATGCATTAAAAACTGTAACCTTTTTAAGTGTTGTACACTCCAATAAAACAGGGTGAAATAGTCCTCTTAAGGATAGCATATTGATTGGTTTCTTGCATTTTGCTCCAATTAGATATGATTTTTTCATAAATAGTAATAAGTAGCTTTTCATCTGTGGCAGGAAGATTTCAACCAGATATAGACTTTCTAATTTGATTTATTGGAATAAGTGATCTGTGTTCTCTAACAGTAAGGCTTTTAAGGGGCTTTTTTCAGGTAATCTCAAAGACGTCTGTGATACTTCAGTTTTGTAGGCCAGTAAATGTGCTGAAGCAGAGAGGCTCTGTGATTTGCTCAGGATTGCAAATAGATTGCTTTAAATTAGTACCATCCCAAATTGATACTGTGGTTGCTTGCATTTTATTGAAGAAATAATAAAAATGATAAATGCTGAAAGAAATGCCACATCTTTCACTTGACATTATTAATTAGAAGAAAATTTCACATATTTTTCTTATCAGGAAAGTAAAAGTAGGCCACATATCATCCAAAGAACTTACGGAACACAAACCTCCAAGCAGTTGCAGGACCTTGGTATGTTTTTGCTTATGTTATGAGTTTTTCAATATGGCAAATAATCATATATGTAACTTGAAAAATTTGAAAATTAGGCTAACAGGGTACATAAAATTGCTGATTATTTAGAAAAGCTTGAAAAATAGATCCTAACCTGACTTTTTCCACAATTATTGCAATGGAATTTAGATTTTTCAATAAGCAGCTGAAAGATTTTCGTCCATCAAGACCTGTATTTAGCTTTCTTCTGCAAATCACTAAATTTATTCAGTGATATTAATGCTTTTGAGGACACGAGATGGAAGAAAACATATATATATATTCTAAGCCCAGGTTACGATCTCTTTATCTCTCCTTGCATGCTTTAACTCTAACTATCAGATTTCTAAATTACTTGAGTTTTGATATGAGATATATATTTAAAAAAATGAACCTTTCAGTAGCAAAGGTGGTTCTCATTTTGATGATGTACTTTAGGTTTGCTCAGTGTACTTAAGTAGTTTAAAATAATGCCATGAAATTCTTAAATTGTGATTTGTACAGAGACTGACTCTAGTTCTGAATGGCCCTTTCTGTCTGAACTTCAGTGGCTGAGGAGAAAGAGAAGAAAGAGAGCAGTGAGTAAAAGTGTGACCTTGAGTTAAGACCATTTATAAAACCAAACCCACTAATTTCTGTATTTTTTAATGTCAAGAGAACATAGGCTTTAGGAAACTAATATTTTTAGTAGCTTAACATTGTGACATAATACAATTATCAAGTGAGAAAACAAGATCATTCTTTAAAATTAGAATATTTGGAAAATAGTTGGTAAACTTTCTAAAGTGACAACAATACATCAATTCAGTAGAAATTTAGTAGTGAAAATGAGTTTAGAATTTTAAATTTTGGGTAAGGAATAATTTTGAATGAACTTTTGCCTACTTTGTGGATATCTGACTTTGTTGTCATTTGGCTCATTAAGTAGCATGGTTAAATCAAAAATCCAAATGAGGACACCCAGAACTGGGTTATTCAGAGAACATAAGTGGGCAGTCCTCGTGAACTTCACATGCATATGTGTCAGTTAGGGGAATAATTAAGTTAAGGAACATTAATCTGTATTTCTTCACTGAGTTGCACAATCCACACCATATTTTTGAGGGTGCATCTGTTTTTGTAACTTCCTTACTCATTAAATCTGTGGTGAATGGTACATAATGAAAAGAGGATGGAAGAAGTGGTGGTGTCTGCACTGAGCCAAAAAGAGTAGACTTTGAATGTTCTTAATGATGTGACTCAGATTCTCAGCGAGTGTCTATCATAACTCACAAAGTTACTGGGGCTATGATTCTTCACCTTAGCTGAATGTCTGACCCAGTTTTTTACAGGTTTAAACCCCCACATATATATATGTAATATGTATATATATATAATATAAATCAACAGCAGTTATTTTTGAAAATCACTACATCTTCGTGATTTCTCAATAAATTTCTTTAATCTGTCAGATATCTCGTGGTGTCTTCGAAGAAATGAAATATCTGGAGCTCATGATAGTCAATGACCATAAAATGGTAAGTATATCAATTCAAAGGTAATCTTCCTTTTGGTGATAGTTTGTAGGTTGATGCACAGCATTGTGCTGCATAAGCTACTTTTGGGTCCAGTATTTTGTTTATCAGCAGCTATTAACAGCTGTAGTGTAAGACACAGTATAGGCCATAATACCTAATGAAGCTTAATGTTGCCTAAGATTTTCTACAGCAATTATATATTCAAAATAAATCTGAAACACCTTGGTATCATATGGATAATTTAGTATGCCCATAACCAATGAAGTAAAGCAACAAAACATTTATGTCCAGAACCAACACACTAAATGTTCTAAAATTACATCTTTAAAGTTATATAGAAAGAAGTCAGAATTTGTTACTTTGAGTTTAGTTTTACTAACTTAAATTTTAATGCAGCAAAACATATAGACAAAACTCTCATGGTTGTTCTTCCTGGGTATTCTGCACTTATGAACAGGATTCATAATAAAGTGCAGGGTAAGTTGTTTGTTTGATTGAGAAAGTGATTGTCATTAAAAACATCCCAGGAGCAGGGGGAGGAAAGCCCACTTTTTTCCCATTTTTTCTTGTAAGATGACTGGAAAATGTCAAACGGAGTGACATTTGTGTGAGCAAGACCTTTTTTTTTAAAAAAAAACAAGTTCTGTTGATAAAACAGTTTTTGTTTATTTTATTTGCAAGTATTTGTTGTGTCTCTCACTCTGCTGCATGTTTTCCCAATGCTTTAAGTTGTTTGGACTCTTCTGCCAACTCTGAAGAATGATTTTTAAGAGTAAGAAACAGCTGATATCAGAACAGGATGCAGTAATTTGTACGTGCTCTAGTGCTGAATAGAAAGATAATATACCCTTCCATCATCTGTCTAAAAAATCACAGAAGTGGTCTGGGCAAACATAACCTATGTTTGGAGGTTAGCAGTGTGGAGGGAATTTGAGTGGGTGGAAAGCATAGGACAGAAGTTTCTTGAGTTGTTCTCATTTGTAAAGCTACCTGGTAGAAAACTGCTGTAAGAGTGTTCAGGTGTTAGTTGTTCAGCAGTAGGGCACAATAAATGAAGTTATGACTGTTGTGTTGTCTTGTTTGATGTCTGTGGTTGATGTTCCTTATGAAGAGAAAATCTTTCTATGTCTGTCTGTTTCCTCTGGCCTCTTGTATTACAGACATACTTAAAGGACAACTGCTGTGTTCACTACAGTGGTTACAGACACTAACTGTTGTCTCCCCTCACGCTTTATTTGTTAGAACTTTAGACCACAAGATTTTCTGTTCCAGAGTTGTCAGTGACTCAGAAGCAGATAATAAATCTTTTCAAGGAATAAAATGGATGTACTTAAGGAAGTGTTCACAATTAAGAGTCACAACTTGCCAGTCCAGGAGCTCACTAAATGTACTTTCGAGGTTTCCTACTTACCAGGAGAGGGCAGGTTTCCCCTGCAGCAAACGTTTGTGTTGGAAGAAGTATCTTAAACCTCTTTGACCATTGTGTTAAGTGGTTAATACTATGTATTTTCACATTTTACTTTCCTGTAGCAGTAAAGACACAACTAAATATGTTTAATTAGGTTGTTGCGCTTTTTACTGGCTTAGATTAATTTCTGGTTTAGGAGATGTGTTTAAACATATTATGTGGTATATTGCTATTGATTTTAGCATTTTAGTACTTTCACGAAAACCAAGAACATTTTCCAAAGCATATTGTTTTACCTTTCCACTTCTGGAAAGGCTTGGGATTGGCTTACAACATAAAGCCAGAGCTGCCCTTTCCCCCTGTCCCATTATCATGGCTCCCTAGGGAGCAGAGTCTTGTGATATGTACATTTCTCTCTGTACATCCTAAGCATCTACTAGAGCTGTACCTGAAAATGCTTTGTTTTGAGAATAGTTATAGGGGAATGGGTCTCTGCAAACCTATGTCGTAGGATCTTTGAGTGTTAAAACCTGCCAGGGTTGTGCTGAAGCATTGTCGAACCTAACAGTGAATAACTGCATTTGTAGAAAAAATTATCTTCCTGCAGTCAAATGAGTGTCCCCATTAAGTTTTATGAACTTTTTTTTATTTCTATGGCATTTCATCCTTATCAAACGAGGCTGATTGTGCAAAAATAAGTTGAATTTAACAGAATGGCAAATTTATCCTCTAATAATGTAGTGCGTTTGTGTGTGACTCTTCTGCTTTCAATTCCAGAGACAAATTATTTAATTTTAAAAGCATATATGTCTTCTAGTGTTACTTTCACCTTTACACCAAGCATAATTTTGGAAAGTGGGGGATTTGTCTGTTTTGTAATTCTTCACTAGATGCTTTCAACCAGTAGTTGAAATTAGTAAAAGTTTTTTTGTGAAATCTTTTTACCCTCTTTGTTCTAAGCAATTTTATGTGCCTTTTCTGTGAAAAGACTTATTTTTCTGTCTGCAAATCATATTGTGTAATGTAGTTTTGGTTTATAATTTTACAGTTTCTTGAAAGTGATGGATTCATGTTCAGATACCATAGCTCCACCTCTAAAAAATTTGACTTAGAACAGAAGGGACTTGTGGGGCAGGATGAGGAAAGACATGAAACCATTGTAATGACATGCACAGAAATTAGGAGGCAGAACTTCTAATACGGCTCAGTTAAGTCTATAAAAATAGAAAAAAAATTAAAGTTAAAATTTAAGATATTCAGCTCAACTCTTTTCACATTCACATATTTACTTTTACTGTGCCCTCCCTCTTCCATTTTGTCTTTTGGTATAACTAATGCTACTTGTCATAAGAGTCTTGTGCTATTGTGGAGAAAGGATGCCTTTGCAAAGAGCTATGCAGAGGACAAGTGGTAAATGCTTCATCTTCCTGTCATATAGTCATGGAATGTGTCTAGTCCAGTCTGATAGGTAACTCATCAAGTTAAGCACACTTTTAATGGGCACAGTATCCTCTCAATCTTGAACTCATGTTTATGTTCATGTTTATCTGTAATTTTATCTCAAACATTTGAACTCTATTTATAAATAGGATATTTCTTGAGGCTAAGTGCTCCTTTTACAGATGTGAAAGGCTGTCTAGCATACATGGCTTCCTTTATTTTCCAGGGATTCTTGAATATGAGATGTAGACTGTGATTTGAAAAGCTTTTTGAGTTTTTCCTTTACTCTTTCTTAAAATATTAATTTTCCTTTCATGCTGTAAAAATAAAGAATTAGTAATAAATATTTAAGTTCTTACTGTGTTCTACTTTCTTTTCTCCTTTTAGTTCAAAAGGCACCGTTCTTCAAATGCATACACAAACAATTTTGCAAAGTCTGTGGTAAATCTTGTAGATGCTGTAAGTATCCATGTTTCCTCTGAACACTGATTCACTGACTTTTAGTTTAGTAAAAAAGTTAACATTTTCAAATACCAGGATAAAAAAAAAATAGCAGCTATGAAAATTACATTTTAAAGTGCATTTCCAGTTCCTCTGCAGAAGAATAGCCTGGGGTAAATGTATAAGAAACCACCAGATTTTCCATGGCATTTTTCTCAAGCTTGCAACTGCCAGAGTTTGCCCTTAGCAGAGGTGATTTCAAACTTAAAGGAGATTTCAGTATCTGTCACTAATTAGGAATGATATTTAATCAAGTTTAGATTTGTGAAACAAATTTAACCACAAGTGATTGAAACTGGGAGTATAGTCCACAAAGAATACACATATCTACTGGGAGAAAAAGAGTGCGAGTAAAAAATTCTACTTGATAAATCTGTATTTGTAGCTTAACAAACAAAATCCCACTGTAGTACATTATAAATGGGTGAAAATGACACAGGTACCATACTTGTATCTGTGACTAAATTTAGAACAATTTTACATACAGCATATAAACTGAAAGTAATATTTGTGGTAAAATTTGATTTTTCTCCCCACTTTTTGATACACATATAGTGACCACACATTTCAGAGCTCTGTTTGTGGTGAAAACAGGATTGATTCTCTAGTAATTATGAATACAAAGGCTACCAAATGCTGACTCTGAGTCCTTTTTCCATGTGACATGATTGATACCAATGGAACCGTGTGATATGATTCAGTGCAAAACATTGTCAACAATTTGTTTGGCTCGGAGGAAGGAATAGAGTCTTTGTTCCTAGTATCTTACACATAAAGTATACTGTATGTATATTGAAAATTCAGGTGAATATATTTATAATACATGAAATATGGGAAGAGTTTTGGAATATTTTTCTCTAGTGGTCTGAAAATACCAGTAGTCTAAAGAAAAGTTACTAGAGGAGGTAAAAATATAAATAATTGAAATAATATTTCTCCAATTTATATTGTATATTCCCAAGGAAAAGGTGGCATTTTTATTTTTTTCTCATCTGATCATTACTTCTTTGTATTTCTTCTGCATTTTAACAAAAGTTGTTTCATCTGTCTTTCCTTTCTCTGATTATTCCATTTGCTTTTCCATTTTTGTTTGCTCTGTGTGTGTGTATGCGGAAACATTCAGCTTGACTCCAGTGTAGAATTCAGTCCCCTTATAGAGATCTTCCAAAATGGCATCTTAATGCCCTTTTCTTTAAATAAAGCATGAAAAGGAGGAGGAATTTCTGCCTTGTTATTCCCCTGTGTCCATAGGGAGTGGGCTGTTATTTCTTACTGATTTATTATTGGGAAAAAGATTCTGGCTTTCAGAGGCTTTCAGGTTCTCTGCTTCCTCTTCCATTCTTTCCTTCCTGTTTACTTCAGGAAATAGAGTTTTCCTCTCAGCAAGCAGAAGTAAAGTCATTATTGATCCACCCATATGTAATTTCAGGGGTGTTAATTTTATAGATTTTTCTCATTTTGTATACCATTTTCTGTGTATGTTGTCAGCCTGTCTTCCTCAGATTGAAGTATGCTAATACTCTTTTTTTCCTTCAAGGGTCTTGGACAAAATTGAGCTTAACTTGTTACTTTCTCATGCTCTTATGTTTATTGTCTTTTTTTCCTGAGATGAGTATTATACATTTACTTTTCAATAAGGATAATACTGTCCTGATACAAAAGACTGGCTTTCTGGTCAGGGTGGATAAGGAATGCATCTTTTGTAGATCTGAAAGTTTTGCATAACCTTAGTTAGTAAAATTTCGCAGTTTTTTTTACCTGAGTCTAAAGAGAGCAGCAGTGTTGTCATAATCAAGTATCATGCACAAAGTTAAAAAGCTTATTTTAAAACTGTTTTGTTATCATTGTTGTTTCCTTGTCTATTACTACAGTGACATTAAAATTAATAGAAAAATTAATATTTTTACTTAATCCTCACATTGCTTGAGTGGTATTAAGTGATCATACTATATAAATGGAAATCAGGCATTATGTGAATTGAATTTTGGATATACTGAGAAATTATTAATATCCACTTAAGGATTTTCTTTGGCTATTCTTTGTCTTTGAGATCTTCCTTTTTTTTCTTTGAGATCACCCAGTGTACCTTTACATTTCTTCTTTGCTGATTTTTGTACAGGTTTTCTGCAAAAGTCAGTGGCAAAATTATTTGACATGAGAATGTTAAAGAAAATGGAGGGGCTAAAAAAAAAAGAAAGAGCAGCAAGGGATGTTCTTGTCCTCTAAAATACAAAATTTAAGTTGATCAGAATATTAACTTCTAGGAAATCCAAGGCATTTCCAGCTAACTGTTTCCCCATGTTTTCCTCCTGCTTTATCCCTCTTGTCCTTCCGCTTTACTCTTACTGGCTAACTGTGCATGTTTGACCCAGTGTTCTACTCCTGTGCCTGTCCTGTCTCTGCCCTCAGATATACAAGGAACAGCTGAACACCAGGGTGGTTCTTGTTGCTGTGGAAACTTGGACAGACAGAGATCGTATTAATATTCACCCGGACCCTCTGCAGATGCTCCACGATTTCTCCAAATACCGGCAGCACTACATCAAACAGCACGCTGATGCTGTGCACCTGCTCTCGTATGTACCATTATGTGATGGCTTAGAATATCAGTTTTATATACTTTCCTCTCTACTTGTCTCTTCTTTCATACTTTTTTGCTCAGTATATTCACTATATCAATCAACATCTGCCTTACTTAGGAAACTTAATCCATATGTAACATGTTAGCCTGCTTTTAATAGGTGTGGTAAATGCCATGGCATGTTGATGTGCATCTATAATGAAATTTGAATGTCTTTAAAACCTGGAGACAGTGTCACATATTTGAAGTGTCTTCGGATGAGCCCTTAAGGACACCTAGCTTTGCCAATCAGGTGTGTAATGTACTGCTTTCCCAATAAAGATCAGGAGAGGGCAGAGCTGACAGTATTATGTGTTGCCACAAGAGCATTCCAGTTAGAATATTTATTCACACATGTAGCTGCATAGATGATTTGTTAGTTGAAGGTCTCCTCCTTTAGAACTGGAATTAATTGTTCTCTGAGACACAACGCATTTTGAGGGGAAATTCCACTTGCATCATTAGGCACAATTTCAACCTTGAACAAGTATTTTTTTTTACTTCACGGCATTGTAAGCAAGGAGGAGGAAATGAATGTTCCCCTGAGCATCATAAAGATCTTAAGCCACCTCCCAGCAGCATGACATACTATGAGGATGAAGTGACAAATGTCTTCCATGGGATTCTTCTGTAATTCATCTTCTGCAGAGGAAGATAAAATTAAGGGTTGAAGAATTTCCTCCAGATTTCCCTCATACAGGCATCACAACACAATGCTAATTGCATTCTTGTTAACGTAGACAAAGTGCTGCTGACATGCACTCTTAATGATTTTCATACATGTATCATGTCTCTTGCTGAGGAGTTTGCCAGCAAGAGCAAACAGGCTTTTCTCAGTGGTGCATGGTGAAAGGTACCAAATACAACCTGAAATACAGGAAATTCCATTTAAAGATAGGGAAAAAACCCATTTCACTCTGAAGGTGGTCAGATGCTGGAACAGGCTGCTCCAAAGAGGTTGTGGACTGTCTATGCTCAGAGACATTCCAAAGCCAGGGGAACATGGTCCTGAGCAGCGTGTTCCAGCTGAGCCTCCCTGGAGCAGGGGGGTTGAACTAGACTGTTTCCAGAAGAGCCTGTCAGCCTCAGCCCTTACTGAGATTCTGACTATTGTAAAGGCTCCGGATGTAAGCATTTATTTAGGCTGCAGTCTGAAAGTTCTGATGGCTGTCAGAATGTTCTGAAAAGTAAATATATACCTGTATGGAGTATCCTGTCATTTAAAAAAACAATAATTTTTGAAGATTAGGGTCATTTGTAGATCATGTAAGGTCACTGCAGGTCATTTGTAGGCAGTGTAGATTTATTATCACAACTATGAAGTTCAAATAGGTATCAAATAGGTAATTTATAGGCATTTTATAAAATAATTTAGGTCTTCTAGATTAACTAATTATTATATCTAAATTATTTGGGGCTTATTAACAATAATTGAAAGTAGGCAGGGTTAAAGAACAGTATTAAATTACTTTCCCTTTAGGCATACTTCTCAGTGTTTTCATTTGGAGTTGAAACTAGAACTTGAATTGGTTTGGATTAAGATCATAATTAAAAAAATTCTCAACACTGATGCATTTCAGAACAGTATTCCTTCCTGACAGATTATAAATTGGAGCATATTGTTAACTTTTTAAAGAAATGTGATCATTTTATTGTCTTAGGAGTCTGGTACTCTAACTTTCTGTGCTTGGTTTGTTTGAAGGTTAAGACTGATTCTGACTCTACAAAATAAAAATAGTATTTTTCTCAAAGCTTTCTCTTTCAATGTTGGTATTCTGTTTGTAAGCTTTAAGTTGCTTTTGATGTTAGAAGAAGATGTATGTACATGCAATCTGTCATAGTATGTGAGAGTATGGTCTTTCAATAGGCTCTTGGTGCCCAATGTCAATGTGTTATATTTTCTTCATTTCTATCTTTTTGTAAGGAATGTGACATTTCATTACAAAAGGAGCAGCTTAAGTTACTTTGGAGGGGTTTGCTCTGTGGCCAGAGGAGTTGGAGTCAATGAGGTAATTTTTTTTTCATTACTAAGGTGAAATAAAATAGAATCTGCACATTGTAACCTCAGAGTTTATGTGTTTCATTATTCAGGGCTTTAAAGATAACTTACATATTAAAAAGTTAGGATTCTCACAGCCAACCTTCTTGATCATCATTAAACTACTGCTCAGTGTACTTTTCTTTTTAAAAAGCATTTTTCCTGTCTGCATTATTGTCTTAATAAGAATTTAAATTGGCTTTTAATATATTTGACAGAAATTTAGACCCAAAAATCTCCAAAGTGTTTGAAACTCAGCACTTAATATTTTTTTGAGTCCTCTCACTGTAAGAGGCTTGGTCTTCTGAGATGCCAATGATATGTAATTCTTACTGAATTTTTTTAACATTGAAACTAGAAAAAACCTGTCCTGGTGTATTGAGTTTATTATTATTATTATTATTATTATTATTATTATTATTATTATTATT